TATCTCTCTTCTTCTCCTCCCTCCTCTCTCTCTCTCTCCCTTTTTCGTTGGCGTATATACCTAGCGAGAGAGAACGAAAGCACATATTGGTGCCACGTGCTGCGCCTCGGGATGTTTATCCCAGGAAGAGCAAAATTCCGGCTTGCTGAAATCAATATTATTGTTCGCGGTCGGCTAAATTTGAATCGCGATTCGGTTGCAACGCGTGCATCGCGAAAGAACACCGTCGCAGAGACGGTGAATTTATTACGTATCGAAGGAGGAGAAGGAACGATGGACGAATCGAAATCTACCCTTTGAGGAGGGCGTAGATAGGTGTACTCGTAGGGAGTGGAGTAGCGAAAAAAGGAGAAGAAGAAGAAGAAGAAGGAAAAAAGATAGAGCGATAGAGTGGCGATAGAGAGGCGCGGCGTGGTCGACGTCACGATAAAATAAAAAACGTAGAAAACGGACGAACCAACGATTCGCCAACGTAATTCGCCCAAGTGTCTCGAGCATTTCCGAGGGGGCCGAGCGCGGCGTTTACGAGCGAGCGACCGAGCAACCGAGTTAATCCTGCAAAGTGCGAGCAAGATGCCTCCTTTGATCTCGCACAAAAGCCGCTACACGGCATTGACCGTGGTTTATATACGCTCGTGTATGGGCCACTGTCTTTGCTAGCTCGCTCATTCATTAAATTCGTTGTATAATTAGGCTCGACAGAAAGACCGAGACTGTCAACCGATCATTCCCGTGCAACGACGCAACCACGAAAAGAGCGAAACGAGTTTCGACTCGCTCCTCGATTTATAGTCCCCTCCGTGTGCATTCTCCGTGCACGTTCGACGTGCGTTTCTTCGCCTCCTCCTCCTCCTCCTCCTCCCTTTAACCGCCCTTCTTTCTTCTTTCTTCCCCTGGATGTAGCTGGCAAGAACGTAAAGTCACGTTCACCGCGATCTAATTATACGAGAGACGAGGCTACGTAACGACCCCCCCAACGCCACGGAACACACAAATTTGCGATTATTTTCATCCGGCAGAAAGAGGAGGAGGAGGAGGAGGAGGAGGATGGGCGAACGAGCGAGCGAAAAAGAGAAGGACGTTTTGTTTATTCGAACGACGGTCAATTTTCGGTTCGGGATTACGTCGATTGTTCGAGTTCTTTCTCGAGAGGAGAGAATACGGAACGATCGAGGATGGAGGAAATCGATGGAGGAAAAGTTTTCGAGGTTTGGGAAAGGAGGGAGGGGGAGGGGGGATGAGGGGAAGGGGAGGGGAGGGGGGACGGGTATGGAGATCGTATGGGACGGAGATGGCGACGTAGATCGGGCGATCGGCAGGATGGACGAGCGGCAAGGATCGTCGACGGGAAGAGAAGAGAAAAGGAACAAGATCCTAGATATCCCCCACCTCGGACGTAGAGGTGGTCCACGGAACCGCCTCCGCGATCTACCATCCAACGTTTGGTGCGTGTGCCAGACGTGTGCTCGTCCGTTTCTGCCTCTTTCGTACGGACCAACCTGTGCGGTGCACGTTCCCTGAATGAACCTTACCATCCTCGTCGATCCGCGTTCGTCTTTCTTCTCTAGTCGGTCGGTTAACCATCGGAGTAGTTGGTATCGCAACGCCGCTCCTCTTCCATCGACGCGTTCCAATTTTATTATCGAGATCGTTTCTACGATTACGTTTTATATCACGGATTTACTTTATTATCCCGGATCCGAAAGGAGAAGAAGGAAAAAAGAAATATATATATATATATATTCCATGCGCGAAACTTTCGGTTCGGATACCGCGTGAACGATATTCGGATCGAGTGAGATAACGGGAGAAGAAGAGGAACAGGAAGAGGAAGAAGAAGAAGAAGAAGAAGAAGAAGGAGGAGGACCGAGTTGAGAAAGAGTGGCGGAAATCGATGGATTAGGCCGATAGGATCCCGTCCGGTCCTCGAGAGGAAGGACAAGGGTCGGTTCGTGATAAATTACGGCACGATAACCTCGGATTAATTGGTCCAATTGGTTTCTTCGTTACGAGATTGTGATTGGATTCGTTGCGAAACACGCGATCGCGTTTTACGCGAAGGAAGAAGAGCAGTGCGGTTCGGGGATAAATCGAAGCGACGATAAGTCGATTATTCGACGGTTGATCGCATCGATCGGCAACGAATGTGAACCGTACACTCTGTATCTGTCGTGTAAGTAATTCTCTTTCGACGATCGAGGGAAGCTCGAGATGGAAAACTATCATCACGGTAACGACATATCGGGTACGACGGAAACGGAAGCCGGACCATCGAGCACCGAGCAATGCAGCAACGAGCAATGCGCTAACTCGTTGGACGACGCAGTGGGCAAACTGCTTCAAGGTTCGCTCTCATCCATCACGTCATCTAATAATCTCGATCGTTCCTTCTTTTATCGGGATTCTTTCGGAGATTCTTTCTTTCTTTCTTTCTTTCTTTCTTCTTCTTCCCTCCCCCCCCCTCTTTTCGTTTCCTATCTCTCCTCGCCTTATTTTCTCCGCCTTCAAACCTCGCCTTCGTCGCTTCGATCGTCGTTTCGGTTGAAAAGATAAAACGACGATATACCTACTTACTTGCTACTCGCTTAGATACAGATATCGCGCACAGATAGATAACGCGACATATATTAAAATGGATTAAATCGATCCCGGGAAACGCAGCGACCCAGGATTTCCTCTTTTCCTCGATCGACATCTAGCGTATCCGAGCACGTTCTCCCTCCCGATTTTCTATAAAGCACGTTTTATAATTGGCGATGAAACTCGGTGGCTTCGGTGACCGATTGCTCGGATTTTATTAAACGCGATACGGTTTGGCCGGATGAGAGAGGAGGCGAAGGAGCTCGCGAAAAGACGATTTCGAGGAAGATTGGGAGGAGAAGGGGCAGGTGCTGCGAACAGAGCGAAACCGCTGAACGTTTGCCACCACCGACGCTAATTATGTTAGTACGAAATTAAATCCGAGACATCGACTCGAGCGAGAGGAAGATGGGGCGGAAGGTGGGGTGGAAACCGAGAAGAAGAGGAGTAATGGGAGCTCGGCATGATTTACGAGGGCCGGCGTTCGCCTCGTTCAAACTGCGCCTTCTTCTTCGAACGCGGTTCGAGAAGGGCAGAGAACGTATCTTCGAACGAGACGCGCGTCATCATCCATTCTCCTCCAATAGCTCGACTCGTGTTCCAACCGTGTTTCATCCCATCTATCTAGCGAAATCACGGAGGGATGCACCGTGCGCAACTCCCTATATCCCCTCGCTTATTCCTTATTTGCGAAAGATTATCGGCAAGGGATTACGATAAAATTACGATACGACTTGGATAGGTCGATCGATCGATCGATCGAAAGGCGACGAAGCGGGCGCTCTTGTCGGTCATCGACAACGAGAGAGGAGGTGACGATGCGTTCAAACGTATATTCCGTCCCCTCCTCTTTAACGAGGATCCCATCCGCGTGGTAATGGGAGCTGATTTGTACAGAAGTTAATGTAGCAAGAGTCGACGACAGGTCGGCATTGACAACCGAGATACCGAAACACACCGGTTCATTCAGCGGTCCCACAATCCCTTATTATGCGCTCGCGTACTCACTCTCTTTCTCTCTCGCGCGCGCGCGCGTTTCTCCCGTCGAGTCGCTCGTCCTCCTTAGGAAAAGTTCTCTCAAAATTCTAATCCCCCCCTTTTCGCTCTCGATTAATCGATTCCCATTGTATCGTATCCCTCATCTTTCCTATTTTTCCTCTGTTTCGAAGTTTCCTCCCCCCTTCTCTCGATTTCTATTCCAACATCTTCCTCGAAAATCTTCTCGCTTTTTTTTTCTTTTCTCCTTTTGTTTGACTTTTTCCCTCGTGGTTGGTTGGAGAAGGACAAAGTGAACGCGGAACTTCTTCTATTCCCGTCGCTTGCTGGGGTGCAAATCTTTCCGTGTTTCCATGAAAATTACTCCGACTTATATCGTGGTATATAGGTAAAGAGCGCGAGAAGTCCTTCGACGAACGTTAAAAAGAAGCCGACAGAGAGACCGCATCGGTGAACCGTGTCCTTATGGTAATTAGCTTCCATGGATTCTACCTATCTCTCCACACTTCGTGCGCTCTACGTCACATTTCACCACGTGCATCTTCGTCTCCTTCGATCTTTCGTTCTCTTCGATCCCATCCTTTCCTCTCCATCTATTCTTGCTTCGTCACTCGATTCAACATTCTAAAAGTACGTGCATCCAATACCAATAATATTTATCCTCTCTTTTTTCCTCCGCTATATTTTTATTTTAATTACTGGTTCGATACTCGACACTCGTGGTCGCATCGATCGATCGAATCAAAGAGATGATGCCGACGCGGGATCGAAAAACGCGGGAAATATAGTCGATGTAGATGTAATATACACGATGGAATCGTGCGTACGGGATCCTGATGATGAGATTTCTCGGAATGGAAAACTCGCAATGACCCAAATAACTTTTCTTCGGTCGATGAACATTCATTGAGGGAGACCGAGAGGAAGTCGGTAATAATAATTAGTCTGTTGATGCGAGCAAACGATCGACGGATAAAGACCACCGCGTTCGAGATTTCTCTTCGTCAAGTTGCTGCGTTCGTTCCTTCCTTCGTTCGTTCGTTCGTTCGTTCGTTCGTTGGTTTTAAATCGCGAAAAAATGGAAGCAAAAAAAGAGAGAGAAAGAGAGAGAGAGAGAGAGAGAGAGAGAGAGAGAGAGAGAGAGATA